CGGAAGAGCCAAGCTCCTCATGTTTGCATCAGCTCTGAGCATCCCGTTGTCTTCCACGGGTTCAGGTGACAAGTGGCAGTGCAGCAGCAGTGTCCTGTTTTTCCCCCCGCCGAGCACCCGCACACAGACCTGCAAGGCGTAGCGGAAGCCGTTCTCACTGTCCTTTATGCAGCCCATGAGAAGGAAGCTGAAGGTCTCCGTTTTGAGAGCATGGCCTTTGTGAACAATTTCCTAAAAGAGGAGAAGGAGCATTAAACTTGTCTTTTACCCACACAGTCTGTCACAGCTGCTGTGAAGCACAAACTGCCACTGCCTTCTGGGGCCAGAGCAGCAACAAAACACAGGGCAGACTCAGTTCTGTGAGGAGAAGGAGGGCTGTGGGAGAAAAGTCCTCTCAGTACCTACGTAGATCCTAGTTTCTCCCTTATGGGAGCGACACAAAATTTGGGGGCAGGAACAGCAATTCTTATCACTGCTCTCAGACTGGCTTTCCTGAGAAAAGCTGCTTTAAGAGCCATAAAAGTAGCTAGCTACCAATATATGTGTTCTTAAAACCAAAGATCAACAAAAAACGTGATGCCTGGGTCTAAACTGATCCGTGCTTAAGATGAAATAAAGAAATCCATTCAATAAGGTGACTTCCAGAAGCTGTAAGTAGAGCAGACTACACTTAACACAAGAAAAATCACATATTTACCTTCAGTACATCAAAGCACATCCTGAGATCTGCACATAGGGCACAGACTTTCAGCAGAGCATGGTAAGTTATCAGGTTCAGCTCTTGATTTTTGCTCTTTAGTTGCTGCCTTAACTTGAGGGCACTTTGCAGGCCCGAGTCTTTCCATGGTGATTCAGCACAGGCATTGAACAGGGCCGTGTAAGTGGCATCAGTGGGGATTAAGCCTCGCTTTTTCATCTAAAGGGAGAGAAAAAGGAAATGGAATTGGCTTTTTAGAAAAAAGCTCTGGAATTTCATAGTCTGTTTTTAAGTAAAAATTGGCTGAAAGGCATTTTGAGGACAGACTCATGACCAAATGCTTAAAGCCACTTTTAGCTAAAAACCTTTCAAAGACTGGAAACTGCAAACCTACATCATTGTAGAGCTTGAATGCCTTTTTCACGTAGCCAACCCTGCCGCAGCCACCCATGAGAACCGTGTAGTTGCTTTCTTGTGGCTGGACACGTTCTTCCTTCAGCATCTGCACCTCAAACAGCTCCAGAGCCTCTGCCAGCTGCAGGAAAAAGAGAAAGCCATGTGAAGCAGCAACGGAATCAGTTATGGTGGGGGTTAAAATCCTCAGCTGTGGACAGGCAGAGAAGTCTGAAAGGGCATGGGGTTCTTTACACCATTTTGCCTCTTTTCTGCAAAGAAATCAAGGATGATACAGGCAGGATCATACTGCAGGGCGCTGGAGCAAGAAGTGAGGCCACAAAATACCAAGGCAGGACCAGCCGAGGGATGGAGGTGACAGGGAGTAGCAGAATTTGCAGGGAGACTAGTTGCACAGCCTCAGAATGGATCTGTCAGCTTGGTTCCTATTTCCAGAGGGGATATAAGGAAAGCCCCATGCCATAACCCTGGCCCATCACATCCCCAGCCCGTGCGGCCACCAAACTGCCAGGAGAGCCGGCACAGACCTTGTCCTGCTTGATGAGCGCCTTGCACCTCAGGAAGAACCAGTACGGGCTGTTCCGGGGCCCCCGTGGCCGCCGCTCCTCGGGCCCCTGTTCCTGCAGCTGCAGCTCCCGCAAGTACGGAGAGCTTTTGTGGTAGAACTGCCTGCCGGAGAAGCGGCTCGAGAGCGTGCCCAGTGTCACTTCTTCAGCATCTTCCTCCTCTTTG